TCTCCTGTATACATTACTAAATTTAGAAAGAGAGACTTCTGTTTTTCTTTTTTAGGTCACCCTGCCTCAGTGGGATGTGGTTGGTTCGTTGAAAAAAGAATATTTCTACAAGTACATACGTGTATACGGTATACAGACCTAGCTGACATCAATGACATGCTACTACATATAGAAAGCCCCTTGTTATGCACAGCAATTCAGGTAAATTAGGTCAATTTGTGACCCACACCAGTTGATTAACACTCAGGTACCTATTTTACTGATAGGTGACCATGGACAGCAAGTGCCTTAAGGAAACATGTTCTAATGTTTCCACCCATACTGGGGATCGACCCGTGGACCTCATTGAGTGAGCTGAGTGCACTAGCAATCTAGACACTACATTATGTGCAGTTCTGCAGTAGAGTATGTACACTCAGTGGCCATTTTATTAGGTACACCTTTCTAGTACTGGGTAGGCCTTCCCCTCTGCCTCCAGAACAGCCTGAATTTTTTGTTGCATGGATTCAACAAATACTGGAAGAGTTCCTTAGAGATTTTGGTCTATGCTGACATGATAGCATTGTGCAGTTGCTGCAGATTTATTGGCTGCATGTTAATGAACTGTTGATGTTTATGCCAAATTCTGTTCTTACTATCTGCATGTTGGAGCAGAAATCATAAGTTTTCAGACCAGGCAATGTTTTTCCAATCTTCAACTGTGTAGTTTTGGTGAACCTATGTACACTGTAGCCTCAGTTTCCTGTACTTAGCTGACAGGATGTGGTATTTTGCTGCTGTAGCCTGTCTATTTCATAGTTTGACATGTGCATTCAGAGATGTTCTGCATACCACTGTTTTAACATGTGGTTATTGAGTTACTGTTGCCTTCTGTCAGCTTGAACCAATTTGGCCATTCTTCTTTGACCCCTTTCATTAACAGAACATTTTCACCCACAGAACTGCCACTCACCAGATATTTTGTTATTTCATACCATTCTCGGTAAACTGTAGCGACTGTTGTACATGAAAACCCCAAGAGACCAGGTTCTGAGATTAATCAAATCACTATGTCTTTGACCAACAATTACAATCATTTCATAGTCAAATTCACTTAGATCATATTACTTCTCCATTCTGACGTTTGATCTGAAGAACAACTGAACCTCTTGACCATGTCTGCATTCTTTTAGGCATTCAGATCCTGCCATATTATTGGCTGATTAGTTATTTTCATTAATGAGCAGGTGCACAGGTGTACCTAATAAAGTAGCCACTGAGTATAGACATTAAGTAGACATACAGTATTTAAATTTAATGAAAAATAAAAAAATTTTCTTGTGTAAATATTAGAAACTCCTCATTTTTGGGTGAAGGGAAATCCATTCTCTAACAGGGCTGGTGTTATGGGTAAGATATGGTATGAAATAGTGTGCCTGAAATAAGACACATGCACAGGAGATATTTGTGTGTGTGTACATAAAAAGGGCAGAGACCCAGGGGTCTGGGGGATGAACCCAGAAGAGAAGAACCTGGGAGGAAAGATTGGGAGGTAGAGCTCAAAAAAATGGAGGAAGAGTGGGGAAGGAAGCTAGCAGAGCTTGGGAAGAAAATGGAGGAGAGGATAGCTGAGGAGAGCAGGAAGTGGGGACTACAAGTCTTAGCAGCAGAAGATAAGATAAAGTGCTTAGATGAGGAATTAAAAAACCTGAAACAGAATAGAGAGAGAAATGACAGTACAGACATGACATCAGGAACTTCTATACTAGCCACAGACAAGGGGACTGTAGGGATCCAGGAAAAGATGTGCACAATTGAGAGACCTGTAGACAATGAAGGAGCTATGACATATGCAGAGACTATAACAGACAACTGCAGTGGCAAGGAACAGGTGAGCAGGAAAGACAGTCCACTGAGCATAGGGGCTGCAGAAATGTTTCGATAGAAGGAACTAAAACACCTCAGAGAATGCAAAGGGAGACACAGTGGGAGGAGGAGAGGGAGAGGTCAGTGTTTGTCTATGGGCTCTGAGAAGTCGAAGGGGAAACCTACAATGAAAGAAACCAGGAGAAGAAAGTAATCAAAAGTATCATGAAAGCAATAGGTGAGGGAGACATGATCCAGGTGACAAATTTTCGGAGAATTGGGTGGATTGCGAGTGGAAGGAAACGGCCAGAGTAATTTTCAAGGCAGAATCAGCTCAAACCAGGATCCTGCAGGAGAAAGCATGACTGAGGGACTATCCGGAGTACCAGAGAGTGTACCTCGATCACGACAGAACACAAGAAGAAAGGATGATACTGAGAGAGAGGGTGCAAAGACGAAAGGAGGAACGAGATGCATTGATGAAGATGAGCAGAACCCAGACTCAGGTGGAAGGGCAAACACACTTTACAGAAACACCCGCGGAACAACTCCAACCACAACAACCCCAAAGCAACTGACCAATCTAAACCAAAACCAACACACTGTTCCCTCTGCCCCCGCCCCCCACGTCACAAACCCCACCCCTACAGCAGCCCCCTATGGGCACTCTGCCCCCACCCCCAATCACAAACCCCCAAACTGCGACAACCCCAATGCAACTGAACAATATAAGCCAGAACCCACACACTGTTCCCTCTCCCCCCACCACCCATATCACAAACCCCATCCCTCTAGCGGGTCCCCAAATACTGCATGGAATAGACAAGGTGGACAGAGCCAAGATGTTCCAGAGAGGGAACACAAAAACAAGGGGTCATTCTTGGAAGTTGAAGGCTCAGATGAGTCACAGGGATGTTAGGAAGCAGTTCTTTAGTCATAAAGTGGTCAGGAAGTGGAACAGTCTGGCGAGTGATGTAGTGGAGGTGGGAACCATACATAGCTTTAAGACGAGGTATGATAAAGCTCATGGAGCAGGGAGAGAGAGGACCTAGTAGCGTTCAGTGAAGAGGCGGGGCCAGGAGCTGAGTCTCGACCCCTGCAACTACAATTAGTACATACATACTCGCCTATTTGTGGTTGCAGGTTTTAAGTTGCAGCTTCTGGCCCCACCTCTTCGCTGGTTGCTACTAGGTCCACTCTCTTCATTCTCCATGAGCTTTGTTGTATCTCTTCTTAAGGTTTTCAGCTTCCAATTGTCTCCTTGTTGCTGTGTACCATCTCTGAAACATTCTGTCCTTATCCACCCTGTCAATTCCTCTTGGTATTTTATGTGTTATCATGCCCCCCCCCCCATCTCTTTTGTCCTTCAGTGTCGTCAGGTCAATTTCCCTTAACTTCTCCTCGTAGGACATACTTAGCTCTGGGACTAGTCTTGTTGCAAACCTTTGCATTTTCTCAAATTTCTTGACATGCTTGCCTAGGTGATGGTTTCAAACTAGCACTGCATGTTCCAATATGGGCCTCATGTACACAGTGTACAGGGTCCTGAATGAGTCCTTATTTAGATGTCGGAATGCTGTTCTTAGGTTTGCCAGGCGCCTGTATGTTGAAGCAGTTATTTGGTTGATGTGCACCTCAGGAGATGTGCCCAGTGTTATACACACACCAAGATCCTTTTCCTTGAGTGAAGTTTGTAGGTTCTGGCCCCCTAGACTGTACTCTGTCTGTGATCTTCTTTGCCCTTCCCCAATCTTCATGACTTTGCACTTGGTGGGGTTGAACTCCAGGAGCCAGTTGCTGGACCAGGCCTGCAGTCTGTCCAGATCCCTCTGTAGTTCTGCCTGATCTGTCCAATATAATTTTTCTCATCAACTTCACATCATCTGCAAACAGGGACACTTCGGATTCTATTCCTTCCGTCACATCGTTCACAAATATCAGAAACAGCACCGGTCTTAAGACTGATCCCTGTGGCACCCTGCATGTTACAGGTGCCCACTCTGACACCTCGCCACATACTATGACTCGCTCTTGTCTTCCTGGCAGGTATTCCCTGATCCATTGTAGTGCCTTCCCTTTTATCCCTGCCTGGTCCTCCAGCTTCCTCACTAATCTCTTGTGTGGAACTGTGTCAAATGCCTTCTTACAGTCCAAGAAAATGCAGTCTACCCACCCCTTTCTCTTTTGTCTTACAGCCATCACCATGTCATAGAACTCCAGTAGGTTTGTGACACAGGATTTCCTGTCCCTGAAACCATGCTGGCTGTCGTTGATAAGCTCATTCCTTTCTAGGTGCTCCACCACTCTTCTTCTGATAATTTTCTCCATGACTTTGCATACTATACACATCAGTGACACTGGTCTGTAGTTTAATGCTTCGTGTCTGTCTCCTTTTTTTAAAAATTGGGACTACATTTGCTGTCTTCCATACTACCGGTAGTCGTCCTGTTTCAATAGATATGTTGAAGATAGTTGTTAGTGGTACACAAAGCACCTCTGATCCCTCTCTCAGGACCCATGGAGAGATGTTATCCGGCCCTATCACCTTTGAGGTATCTAGCTCGCTTAACAGCTTCTTCACTTCTTCCTCAGTTGTATGTATTATGTCCAACACTTGATGGTGCACCCCACCTCTCTGCCTTTCTGAAGGCCCTTGTCTCCTCTGTGAATACTTCTCTGAATCTCATGTTGAATTCCTCACATACTTCGGGGTCGTTTTTCGTGACCTCCCCTCCTTCCTTCCTCAGCCTGATTACCTGGTCCTTGACTGTTGTTTTCCTCCTGATGTGGCTGTACAACAGCTTTGGGTTAGATTTGGCTTTTGCTGCTATGTCATTCTCTTATTGCCTTTGGGCCTCCTGTCTTGCCTGTGCATATTCGTTTCTGGCTCTACGACTGGTCTCCTTATTCTCCTGGGTCCTTTGCCTTCTCTACTTCTTCCATTCCCTAGCACACTTGGTTTTGGCCTCCCTGCACCTTTGGGTGAACCACGGGCTCATCCTGGTTTTTTCATTATTCCTGTACCCTTGGGTACAAACCTCTCCTCATCTTCCTTGCATATTGTCGTCATATATTCCATCTCGTCCACTGACTTCCCTGCTAGTTCTCTGTCCCACTGAACCCTGTTCAGGAAGTTCTTCATGTTTGCATAGTCCTCTTTCTTGTAGTTTGGCTTCACTCGTCCGGCCCTCCCTGCCTCCCCCTCCACTTGTAACTCTACTATGTATTCGAAGCTTAAAACCACATGATCACTGGCCCCCAGGGTCTTTCGTATGTGATGTCCTCAGTATCTGCACTATTCAAGGTGAATACTAGGTCCAGTCTTGCTGGTTCATCCTCTCCTCTCTGTTAGTGT